TAGTAACCTTATAAAACTGTTATCCAGTAAGATTTTCCTGGGTAAATGCTATTCCACTACATTTTATTATACTTTATTTATTTTTAAATTTCATTTTACATCCAAAGCACAATTCTTCCTCCCAGGCCTCCTCCTGCATTAAACCCACTCAGACCCCCCCCCTGAATATGGTTCTCATTTAGAAGGCCTGAAAGTCTAAGGAACCTCTGAATGTGGAACGTAAAAGGACTGGTGCATAAAAGGACTTTGGGAGCATATTACCCTTGGAGGGATACTCCATTAAACTAGAGGCAGGATGGAGGACCGTGACCCTATCCAAATGACTTGACAGATTTAGATGACCTCTCCTGGAAGGCATCACCCTACATTTGGAATGGGGTGGAATGGGAGAGGAGGGTTGGAGAGAGGAAGGGAAGAAAGGAGGAAGGGAGGAAGGGAGTGGAACTCGGATCAATATGTAAAAATAAAAATAAATTAACAAAAAAGAAAAAAATATACATACAGGCATCTAAAATTTTCTGGGAGCAAATCACAGGGAGATATTTCTAATCAATTTTTCTATGTAAAATTGTACTACTTATGAAAGTTTAAGTAAATTTACATAGTAGAAAGAAGACTTTTAAAAGTTTGAAGAGATGGTATCCATGTATAACAGGTTTTAAAAGTTCATGAAAGTCTAGATTGTTCTGTCCAGTAAAACCATATGTCTTAGTTTAAGTTGTAAGAAATTTTTTTTTCTTATGATGAAAAGACTCCAATAGAATTCATGTGCAGAAAGCCAACGCTACAGAGTGGGGTTTCAAATACAAGGTTCTAAGCATGAGTTAGTTAATCGTGTATACATTATGGCACTTAATATGAACAAATTCGATGTCTGACTAAATGTACTGTGTATATGGCTGACAGTTGTTTGCCTGTTCTTTTTGTGGGGGCCCCTGGCAGTGGGAACAGGACACATCCCTAGTGCATGAGATGGGTTGGAGCACATTCCCAGTTGTGGGATCACTTGTTCAGCTGTGATGAAGGGGAGAAGGGTTTAGAAATTTACAGAAAAACTAACTAAATGTACTAGCTCAGAAAAAGGAAAGTTTAAAAGGGGGTTAGTTATAATTACTTTACGTTTAAAATAAAAAATAGAACTTTTTGAGAAATGTACTAATTTCCAAGATCTCCAGTGCCATACACAGTAACTGTCAAATGTTCAAGTTTTTGTTTTCTAATTAGATATTAATAAATATGGCAAAGAAAACTTTCTGTTTGCTATATGATTCATTTTAAAGTATGGCACAAAATCTTGTCATTTGCCAAGGCTTGCCAGCTCTATGCTTCCATGGATAAAAAAGGAAGTTTTTTTCAAGTTTATAGCCAACAGAATCTTCTATGCATGTCAAGGGAAGAGATGCATTGCAGTGACATGATTTATACTGTCAGACATTATTAACATGTAGTCTAATACTTTAAAGGGAAGTATATTTATACTTTGCTAAAACATTATAATATATCTATAATTTTTTAGTGGTCAAAGTCATATAATTTCCTTTCAGAAAGGTAAAACAAATTAGAAGAGTCTATTAATAGTAGAACATTCAAATCAAGTAGAGCTTTAAAATTACTTAAAATTTTTTATTATTTAATACTAGCAGTGTGTAATTTAGTGTTTTGTTTTGTTTGCATGCCGGGTTGATGGGAGATGTCATTCTGTAAATATGTTTCTCTTATTGGTTAATGAATAAGGCATTGTTGGCCAATAGAAAAACAAGATAGGTGGGAATAGGAGACAAAGAGGATTCTGGGAGATGTGGTAGGGAGGATTCAACATGTAGACATGAGAGAACAGAGGTCCGGGCATTCTCTCCGGTAAGATGACACCACGTGGAAATACTTAGATTAATAGAAATGGGTTATTATTTAAGACAGAGCTGGCCAATAAGAAACTAATAACTGGCCAAGAGCATTATATCTAATACAGCATTTCTGTGTGTTATTTGGGGCTGGCACGGCGGTGGGACAAAGACATAAGAAAAACATACTCTTAACAAAATGGCGCTGGCAACATAGCTAATAAGAACTTCCACTTAAACCTTAACAAAACCTTAAAAAAGGGTTTTAGAAACAAAAGAACAGAGACAAGCAAGGCTTCTTGTTATCAGCATATTTCTCTGTTGAACTCTGTTTTGCTAGAGACAACCAGAGACTTATGCTGCTCCTTTAAGGGAGATTTTCTGACTCAGCATAAGCTGCAAAAAAAACCACACGACTTTAAAGAGCTCTGCTAGGAACTTAATGGTGTTTTTGAGAGCTGGCAATGGCAGTGACCACATCTCCAAGCAGGCAACATATTGCTGGATGGCAGTGTAGACCAAGGCAGTGAGCACAGCTCTCAGTTCTGGCAGTAAAATTACCCACCCCGACTTTGATAGACTGTTACTAATACAGCTGTGGCTTTCATTTTAGCAATATTGTTGTTTATCAGATAAAAGACTCAGGGCCAAAAAAGATAAAGATTTACAGTAAAGACAAATTCAGATTAAGGAAAACCTCTAAAGGTTTACTGTGTTTTAAAATATACATAGGCTTGAGAGAGAAAAAGAAACAAAATAAAATGGTTTTAAAAAAAAGAATAATAAAAAATAAGAGTAGCTAGGTGTGGTGGCATACTCCTTTAATTTCAGCACTTGGAAGACAGAGGCAATCAGATTCCTGTGATATATTAATTCCAGGACAGACAAAAGTTGCACAGAGAAACCCTGTCTCCATAAAGAAGTAAAAGTATTAAAGAAAAAGCCATATGAATATGGAAAGCACACAAAGAGCATGGACACTGTATGCTATGATATTGTCTGTAAATTGCTCAGTTACAAAGGAAGAAATAATAATTGCTACAATATACTTGATTATCAATATTGTTGAATATTTTAAAAATGCTTTGAATATAAAATTTAAGTCCAAAGACAGGTTACTGGGAAAAAGGATTTCTATATTTGTTTCTACAGAAAATGAAAAGCTATGGATTCCTTCCCGACTAACATGGCTTCATCAAGCAAGACCCCCTGAAACAGTGTCTCAGATGATCCACCATTCAAAACACCTTGGATAAGGCTGCTTTGCAGACTATAGCCAGGACTTCTGCATTGTCTTAGGATCCACATGGCAGCAAACCCTACCAGCAAGAGCAGGAAAGAATGAAACCCAAATTCCCAAATATTGTCTATAAATGTCTGTGTTCATTTACATGTAGTTGATTCATGACCACAACCAATCTTTTTAAAGTAAAAAGGGGATTGTCGTATAGATATGAATACTTTGGTTTGGAATGGACTTTCATCTATTGATACAAATTTAAGATCAATTTTGTTTTATGGGTATTTCCTCTGGATTAAATATTGTGTTTATATAGCTCATTTAAAAGAGTAATGTATAGTTTAGTACAGATTTTAGATAGTTACTTATAATAGTCAAAACTTTAGTTAGGTCACCTATACTAGTCAAAACTTATTGCTAAGTTAGTTAGGTGTTTAGTTATACAGAGATATATTTGAGATGGATAAATATTCTTCAAACCTTCCAAAGACCTATAGAATATGGCATTTAAATTGGTTTAGGGTTTTCTTAAGAGTGAGGCACAACTGCTCCTAGCAACTCCACCTTCGTTAGAAAGGCAGTTGGACATTGCAGAAACTTATTATGGAGTTTACCTCAAATATGGCAAAACTATCCATTTGGGAAAGATATCGCTGTAGTCTGGACTGTATGACTATTTATGCAGTATAAAATGGACATGCAGGACCAACAGAAAAATGCTGATACAAGATGGACATTGCTACAGGATTCCTGCTTCATGGAAAAGTCTGTCAGACAGTCTACAGGACACAAAGAAAAATGACTGACAAACTGCCAATAAAGGTGGACAGTTTAAACTTTCCTACTTTGCTTAGGAGTCTGCTAGACTTAAGCCTATGGGCTTAAGATGGAATATTACAAAAGGACTTTGGGTGACTGACCAGGTGAGTTGTATCTGTCAGTTCTAGAGTTTATATATTATCCTTCTGTGGTCTTTGATGGGGTTGAAGACAGATAGTTATGGTTATACATTCCCTTAGTTAGGATTAAAGATAAGTTAAATATAGGACTTTAGACTCACAAATATAGGATAGATGATGGAATATTTTCTTTAAATCTTACTAAATGCTAATGGACTAAATAATGTTAACTGTGGTTCTTATTTGATACCTTTTTTGTTATATATTTTACTAAGGTTGAAACCCTATTTATTTAGACAGAAAAGACAGGATGATGGGATATATCATTCTGTAAATATGTTTCTTGTATTGGTTAATGAATAAAACAATGTTGGCCAATAGGATAGCAAGATAGATGGGACTAGGAGACAAGGAGGAGAGAGGAAGTAGTAGAGAGAACAGACAAGATGTAGAGACTGGAGAGAACAGAGGTCCGGGCTTTCTCTCTGGCAAGATGAGACCACGTGGAAATACTTAGATTAGTAGAAATGTGTTAATATTTAAGACAGAGGTAGCAAATAAGAAATGCTAGTAATAGACTAACAGCTTTATATCTAATACAGTGTCTCTATGTGTTATTTGGGGCTGGTGCTGCTGTAAGACCAGAAAGGCAGGAAAAAAAAAAAAAAACTACTCATAACACAGGGTTCTTCTATGTAGGCTGGGATATCCTAGAAATTATTATGTAAAACAGCTTGGACCCCAGTTTACAGCGATCTGTCTGCCTCAGCTCTGTGTGCCATCACATCCAGCTTAAGTTTTAAATGAATAAAAGTATTACTTTTATTAAATATCATTGATAGCAGTTTCACTATGATCTAAACAGTCCAATATTTTCTTATTATATAACAAATAACGACAATTCCTTTTCCTTTCTCTTTTCTCTAGCTGAGCAAGATTTGCCCAAGGGAAAGAAGGCCAAGGGGAAGAATGTGGCCCCAGTCCCTGCCGTCGTGAAGAAACAGGAGGCCAAATTGGTGGTGAATCCTTTGTTTGAGATGAGGCCTAAGAACTTCGGCATTGGGCAGGACATCCAGCCCAAAAGAGATCTCACCTGCTTCGTCAAATGGCCTCGTTACATCCGGCTGCAGTGGCAAAGGGCCATCCTCTATAAGCATCTCAAAGTTCCTCCTGCCATTAACCGGTTCACCCAGGCCCTGGACCGGCAAACAGCTACCCAGGTGCTTAAGCTTGCCCACAAGTATAGGCCAGAGACAAAGCAGGAAAAGAAGCAAAGACTGTTGGCCCGTGCTGAGAAGAAAGCTGTTGGCAAAGGGGATGTCCCAACTAAGAGGCCTCCTGTCCTTCGAGCAGGAGTCAATACAGCCACCACCTTGGTGGAGAACAAGAAGGCTCAGCTGGTGGTGATCGCCCACGATGCAGACCCCATTGAGCTGGTGGTCTTCCTGCCTGTACTGTGTCGCAAGACGGGGGTCCCCTACTGCATCATCAAGGAAAAGGCCAGGCTGGGGCTGCTGATCCACAGGAAGACATGTACCACTGTTGCCTTCACATAGGTTAACTCGGAAGACAAGGGTGCTCTGGCTAAGCTGGTGGAAGCTATTAGGACCAATTACCACGACAAATATGATGAGATGCGTTGCCACTGGGGAGGCAATGTCCTGGGTCCTAAATCTGTGGCTCAAATTGCCAAACAGGAAAAGGCAAAGGCCAAAGAACTCGCAATTAGACTGGGTTAAATGTACACTCACTGCTAAGTTTTCTGTACATAAAATACAAATTTATCTTCCATCAAAAAAAAAATTACATTTTGCCTAGCTCATCAATCCTTCTTAATATTAGATATAATAGGATTTAAATATAGTCTATATACATTTTCTTAGTTAGATTTTTTTACTTTTATTTTTTAATCATAATAAAACATTAAGTTTTCATTCTATTTCCTCCTTTACATATGAGCCTCTGTTTCATTAATTTTTACATACACCTATGTATATACATTTATACCTCCCTAGATACATAAATACAACCTGTTAGGCATCTGGCTTCTGTAAAGTTGTTCAGGAATGTTACTGGATTACTCAGCAATTACAATGTTTTTTTTTTTTCTCATTTTCAAAACGTTTTCCATTTGATAAATGTGAACTAAAGTTTGCCTATTAAATAAAAATGGTTTGTATTTATATTAAGATAACTATCATGGCTGCATCTTATGTTCCTTTTGTTTTCTGGTCACAGAAACAGAAGTTCTGAGGGCACTTTTTTACATGGACTTAAAATTCAGAAGTCTATGAATACTATACTCAAACATGTCCCACACTTTCATGTATTTACTTTTATGAGTATGGTCTAAATGAGGAAAATATTTTAAGTGTTTATTAAAACACTTAATTAAATACTTTGAAATTGGAGGCTAAGCTCTAAGAAGTAGATTAGAAGTTAGCCTCCAATTTCAAAGTATTTAAATGAGAAAATATCCACAAATGCTTTGCTATGAATTTTCGTTTATTGTAGATGTAGTCAAGTTGTTAATCAAGTTTAGCTACCACACCACTATACCATATATCTATAATGACCTTGCCTCTTAAGATAATAAATTTTTGAGTCTTTGGATAGTCTGTTATGTCAAGCCAGGAAGATTAATGCAATTTAAACTAACAAAACAGCATTAATAAGTATGTGCATGTTTTTGGAGTCAATAAAGATCATCACCTAACAGATCATTCATCAAAGAAAATCAAAGTTTCCATCATAAATATTGAGTCAGGGAAATAGGGATCTCGAGAGAGTGCTACTCATTAACCTTTTAATATTATATACAGGTCTGAAAGCTTTACCATATTACAGTAAACCTATCTTTATTACAGAACTGTCAATGTCTTCACTTATATAAAATATCTCTGGATCCTTGAGGCAATTAAAGCGTGAGGTACAAGGGATGGAAAGGAGAGAATAGAAAACGACTCTTGTGTATATATGATATTAATGTTTACACATGAAATAAATTTAGTAAATTATCTACCATGTAAATTATAGTTATAAACTTAAAAATTCATACTATGGTGATAAACATGAAAATTTCTCAAATATAAGGAACATTAAATCCAATACTTTACGCTCATATGTAGAAATTTCTACTTTTTCAGAAGTAAAATAACTTAATATAAATTCACAAATCAATGACAGTAATGACTAGAGAGATGCTCGGTGAGTAAAGGCACTTACTCAATGTGTGTAGATGAGAAAAGCCTCTGATCTTTAAATATATGCTGTGCCATAGTTATGTCCATACAGTTGAATATCTCCTAGTAGCAGGCCTTTTAGCCATATAGTTATCTGGTTGAAGAGATATTGATATGTATCTCTTGTTGGAAGTATCATTAGTTATTTTCACTTTAATATGAACTGTGCCCCAAGTTACAGCAGTATTAACAAATGCAATTCATTCTCATAGACTAATATAGACTTATAGACTTTTCATAGAAGAGACTTTTTATTTAGCTTAATAATCTTTCCCCCATTTTATACAGATGCTATATGATTTTTATGTAAATTATTTGGCAAATAGTATCTAGAAATCAATTTCTTAATGTTTTATGGTTTATTGTATAGGGTTGGAAATTTTCTCTGGTAAAAGATTTGTTTTTAAATATTAAACTGTTAAATCACGATTTTAAACATGTATTTGGAACAGATTAGCACAAATAATATAGTGGACACAAACACTACAATTTTGATTATTTTATTGTATAAAGTTATATAATTCTCTGTTTAATTTTGTCAACAACTTGGAACTGATATTAATTCGTGACATAACCTTTAAAGACTAAATTTAAAATATTTAATGGCCTTGTATTAATTTTTTGATAGAACTATTTGAATGCTTTCTGTAATATCAACTTTTAGTCAATCCTCATTTCCACAGCTTCGCTTTTTCCTCAATTAGTTTTGCAGACTGACAAGCAAAGTTCAAAACTTTAGCAATGGTAACATGATTCCTATACTCTTTATGCATAAATTCATTTAACGATAATGAGAAGTAATAAAGATAAATCAGCTAATGTAAAATTTTGATGAATATGTCATCGTCACTATTTTTGTCTTCTTTGTATTTTCTAAAATTGGCACTGTAACAATTCTTTGACAAATACTTTTTGATATGATGAGAGAATATTTTAAAAAAACCTTTAAGCATTTTCACTTTTAAGAATATCATTTACTTCAATGAAAGGCTGGTCTATTATCACATAAAACCTGTAACACCTGTAAGACCTCTTTATGATTTTTTTCCCATAAATATAATTTTCTTGAATGTAGTAGGTAGCTTTATATAGGTAATAAAAACAACAAAATGCTGAAGTTGCTCACATGAATTGAAATGAGAACAGAGGTTTAGGGTAAGCAATAGATTAAGGGTGGAAACATTAGAATACATAGAATAAAGGAGGTTGTAGCTGGATATTAAAGAAACTAGAGAAATAATGAGGGATAAGGCTGTGAGCCAGTAAATACAGGCTAACTGCCCCTGAAAATACTCAAGGGAATACTTAAGGTACTATTATCTTTATTATATTTATATTTGTAATGCAACTAATTGAAACTAAATTGTTAATATCTTCTCATATAAGAAGTTTCTACTAAATATATCACTTAAGATTATTACATAAACTAAATATAAAGTAACCAATAAAGATTGAAAAGCCACATCAACTTAAAGGTTTAGTTAAAGTTAACTCTACCATATCTGGTCATGTAAATGTGAGAACAAATAGAACATGGTCTAATTAATTACAAAGGCATTCCAGCCATTTTTTTTTAATTTATTAGTTTACATGTTGGTCCCAGTTCCCTCTCCCTTCTTCCCTCACTCCCTCCTTCCCTCCCTTTCTTCCTTTTACCCACTTTGCCCTCTCACATGCACCCTCCCATCCCCCCACCCCATTTCCGTATGTAGGGCAGTGCCATCTGTAGAGAGCCACTGGTGCCATTCCCGAAGACGGCACTGGTTTCCTGTCCATAAGCCAGCAAGGCGCGGAAGTGCGATCCACGTCATGGGGTGACCGTTACGACCGTTGCAGGCTGCAACTGTCAGCAACGGACACAGCTCCTCTGCAACTGTCAGTAACGGACACAGCTCCTCTATATAAGCAGAGCCCTTTTTTCCTCCTCGGGGTCTTCCCTCAACTTGCTGTAATGAGCCGCGCGCGCAATAAACATAGCTGCAGAAGAATCCTGTTGTTGAGCGTCCTTCTTGCAGGCAAGGCGATAGTGCTCGACACCATCCAGTTGGGTCATGTAGATCTGACAGGTCATTTGAAGGAGGGACTAGGACTTCTCTCCTGTCTCTAGATTAAGGCAGTTATCCCTCCATGGGGGATGTGTTCGCAAAGTCCTTTTATGCACCAGGGATACATTCTGGTTCCACTGTCTGAGGTCCCTTAGACTGCTCAGTCCTTCTGGCTGAGACCCATTTCAGAGTTTTAATAATGATGACAAATGATTAACTCTAGTAATAAAAGTTAGTAACTAAGATACCCAGTGTCAGTGAGAGCCACAGAACACAGCTTCAACCACCCCTACCTGGGTGAACTGTTCATAAATAGTGCATAAAAATCTTTCCAGTTGAGTCAATGTTATACAAATACCATTTGTCCAAACTACATTAGTATGGAACATGACAATCCTTAGAATGGATCAGTTTCATAGAAATTACTTTAGACTTCATGCATCCTCTGCCCTAGTCCTAAAGAACCCCAAGCAAAGGAATGTTTTCCCTTTATGGGAATTACCCACCACTATCAACACATTTGCTTACTTTTCTTTTCTTCTTCTTATCCAATATTTCTTAATAAAGTCTGTTGTTGCTTTGCATACTTACAAAAGTCTATACATGATTAATTTTCCACTGGCTAATGCAATGCATCAGAGTCATTGCCCATGTCAATCTTTAATAGTCATGGATGATGGGTACTTGGTAATTGTGTTATTCATACTACAGCTATAGAACTTCTGTCAGCCCTCAAAAAATTTGAACCATTTCCATCCCATATATCACTATGCAATACATCTGTCATGTATGCTTCTACAAGGTAACCAGGTTCATTTGGCTGATAGATACAATTTCACATAATGCTGGATTGCTTTCAAATGTATATTTTCCCCAATCTTTTTTTTCTTTCCCAACAATTTACATCATGACAAGTGATGATTCTTACTCTTGGTTTTAAACTGTTTTGTTTGAAACATATTAATGTTTAATTGCATTAGTATGTGATTTTGAAAGAATTTCATTTTGAAGTGAACTTGTTCAACAAACCCAATGACAAAAAATAATAACTTTCTTATACATATGAAAATTATCACTTCATTGGAATCAATGCAATTTTAATAAGAATTTTATTAGAAGGGTTTGTGCCTGGATTTTGTTGAAAAATGTTAAATATGGATAATTTTTAATGCAAATGTCTGTTAAACTTCTAAAAATATATTTTCTTAGAATTAATTCTAAATTTAAAAATTTGGCTTCAAAGAACTTTGGGTCTTGGGTTTTCAAGGTATGGTGCTTTTCCTGTTCTGAAATTCAGACAACCACTTAGAGCTCTGATTATCAGTACAGGATGATTTT